CTGCCGTGTAACACAGAACCTCAACAGTAACACGCATCTAGGGCTGCACCTGCAACCAACATCAGATCTCACAGCAGAGAAAGGGGGCGCCCTTGAGACTCTGGCTTAGCGAGGGTGTGACGCCTGTGAGATAACGAACCCTGCGGACCTGGCGATGGAGGGTTACAGCGTTACAGCCAGAAGTGTTGCCAGCGGTCTTTGAGAAAAGAGAAGAGACAAAGTCATGAGAATTCTTGTCTTTATTCTTGCCCGGACTGGTCGCCACAATGGCCACGAGTTTACGGGCCTTTTAGTGAGGACCTTGGTTACACCTCTTTTGATGTTTTGTGCATGTCTAGTTCAGTTTGTCCTGATCTAAATAGTTGTCTAGACTTTTGACAATACAGTAGTTTCAGAGTTTCGGTTCAGATGGAGCATGGAATAGTCGGTGAGGACGGAACTGCAGGAACCTCAATCCCTAGCAGCGGGTCGATGTCCATTTGTTTGTTTTCCAGGTTTCTTGTGATGGCTGTTTCTCACCGGGGCTCTGCGGCTTCGGGGCCCGGGCGGGAACACCAACAGAGCCCCCGGGCGGACGCGGACGGCGGGTGGCGAGCCTGTATTCGAGGTCTTGGCTTGGTTATGTACGGTGTTTTATTGCGCGGGTTGGTCCTGGGATGAGATCATAGAGGCCTGGTTGATGAAAGCCACAGGAGGGACGATTGCTTGCAGGATGGTGGGATTGGAATTGTTGGACGTGGGGAGCTGATACTGCCATTAATCTGAGTACATGAATGAATCAAAGGACATTGAGTAAAGTAACCAACCTGTGTGAGCTCAAGAGTAAAGTACTGTATGTTCTGAGTCAGATGTGAAGCTGAGTGCTATCGTGGCCTTGAAAGATGACCTCAGCACAGTAATATCCTGACTCTTGCGACTCTCACACTGTCCATCTACTCCTGATATCCCATGCTAATGAAACCCCACCATGGTCCTGACGGTCTCCAAGACACCCCCACCAAGAGCTGGTCTGGGCTAGGCTTGACAGAATCAATGAGATATGGTTCCCACGGGGAAACCGCTTTTGATGCTGGGGTAGACACCAGAGACACTATCGTGAGCCTCACGGTGTCAAGAGATTGAGGTGAGCGCACTGTTTGTGAACAACAAAGAGCAAATGCAGTGCCCAGCCAGATACGAAGGATGTGATTGATATCAGTGCGCTTGACGCGGCCCCTGAAAATGGGACCATGAATGAACATCATCATTGCCACCCACTTCAAGATCTGAGGGGACTGGACAATGGATGTTCCATTTTTGATTTTCAGGGTATGACAGGCGCCTGGGTTCGGTTCTGAGTTTGCTGTACTGGTGGTGCCCGCTGGCTAACGTTAGCTGGGCTGGGGCTGGGCTGGCAGACCCTTCTCCTTGTGTTCCAGGGGTCTTTTCTGCCTGCACTGCACTTTTGCCTCGGGAACTGGTGTCCGCGTCATGTCATTCAAGGTGGCATGTGGGATGAGATGCTGAAAAACAAGGACTTCCATAGAAATAGATAAGCAATTTGGTGATTCTTTTAGTTGGGCTTCTCTGCAACATATGATGATTTTGAGGCCGTGGTAGGCAGCTGGACAATTGATAGCGAGGCTTGGGTCTTGGACTTGTTCGATAGTTTGTGGCGGCACTTCCAATGCGAGAGAATAGAGCAAGCAGAGTCTGACCAGCCGGACATGGACTTGACACTCCATCGATTGACAAGGGTCCGTTGCCCGTTGATTTGACTGAAATTTGAACTTGTGACCGCCGGCGTCGGACGCCAGTCATTTCCCGCTTCCATTCTCGTCTCGTCACCAAGAGAATGAATGAATGGATTGGATGGATCAGAGACAATTCCATCCATGTACCTCTACTACCGAAAGCAGACTATCCTGGTACCGTAACTACTGCTTAGTCTAGTGAGGTGAGGTGCCTCTATCGCCCCGCCCGCTCTTTTGCTCTGGCCTCTATCTCTGCTGTTGCTAGACTAAAACCAAGGTCGCCCGCGCAGTCGGAGTCTCGTATCCCAAACTGCTTTTCTCTACCAGAGCAAAAGTTGACTTTCGTCACTAGCAAACCAAGCATCTTCACATTTTTTAATCTCCCTTCTACTTTTCTTCCTTTTCCCTTCCCACTAAAGCCTTTTACCCTTCCTCCACCGAAACATCCTTCGGTCTACTCCAATTGCGGTCTTCTCATTGCCCTTACCTAAGGCAAATACTATTATTACTCACTTGTTTTTGTCCCCCCCTGCCCCTCCATCCATCGCAAGCACAGGACAGGCACAGGCACAGGCACCGCGAGTGAGCGAGCGAGCGCAACGTAGGCCAAGTACAGTACAGTACGAACGAGCATCAACCCAGTCAAGTCCGCGCGAGTCATCTATTCCCGAACCCTGGTCTTTTCTTTTTCCTCCCCTCCTCATCATGGCCACGGTAGACAAACCTCGGCGACGGTTTGTTCCAGAGCCCATTGAGACCACATTTTCAACCAGTCGATCAAGCAACAGATCAGATGAGAAAAAGACGCCTCGCACAATGAGACCCAATCCCGAACCCACACCCGAGCCCTCGCCTCGTTCTCCCTCGCCTGGTCTGAACGAGTTGCAGAAGAAGCACCAGCAGCGACCAAAGCGACGCTTCGCTCCTCAGTTGATCGAATCGTCCCGGAGAAGCCGCAGAGTTGGAGATGCTGGACCTGCGACCAAACCTACCGACAAGACCGACATTACCCCTTACACAAAGAACATCTACACCGCCACAAAACACCGCGGCAGACGACGAGACGATGCCCACGAATCCCCTTCCAATGGCCCCAGACGTCGCGAGTCCGAGGACGAGAATGTCGTTTCGTTTCTGCTAGAGATTGCTGCGAAGGAGGCAGAGCGCCAGATGCAGGAGGCCGCTATGGCTGCGTTCCCCAACAGTCACGTTCGTGAAGGAAACGTCGACCATTTTTACTTCCGTGAGAGTTCAGGAAGCGATCAATCTCCCGAGAGCACTTCTCCTGTGCATGATCACCATGGCCATCTCGTCAAGCACCATCACAATGTGCGGCGGCAATCGTCCGACAGCAATCTCGGCTGGTGGCATAAACACATGCAGGAGCATGTCGAGGCCAAGCAGGAGCAGGAACAGCAGCAGAAAGATGAGGATGCTATGGCGATTGACGAGAAGCCTGAGGAGATGGATACCCTCGTTGAAGAACCTGTAGTGGAAGCACCAGTGGTTAAGAAGGACGAGGATGTCATGATGCGAACCGATACGGCAGACCTCGATGCAATGGACCTCGAACCTCCTCCGGATCCGATGTGGACCACCTCAAACACCCCTCGTGATAGTAGTAGCAAGCGGTCATCGATCGGTGTTAGTGGTCCGATTGGTGAGACGCATATGCCGTTGCTCGATACAGATTCTTATTTGACAGCCGAGCAACGAAGTAAGGCATCGTCCCCGGCACCTGCAGCATCCCGACACATTGGCGAATCTACGATGCCCTTCATCCCGTCGGCCCCGGCCGTTGGCTCTGCAGATGTCCCGTACGCCAAAGCTTCTCAAATACCCCCAGACACCGGCGGCTTTGCTGCCACGCGCAACCTCGCCCGACCCTTCGGATACCGACCTTTCGGACGCGGATCGCCTGCTCCCTCGTTCCAGAAGAAGCGTCTGGGTGTCACACCGCCCATGCTCGGCAAAGATCTCGTCTTCCGGAGGTGTCCGTCTCCCAAGCAGACCAAGCTCGAGCCCGATCACCCATTCGCAGAACGCCATGCTGAAGAGAAGTTCCGGGATCTTTCGGGTCAGAATGGTCTCTGGAGAGGCTATTGCTTCAGATCAGACTCGAATGATAACTACCTGGTGCCAGCAGACCTGCATGCCCCACCAATGCTCGCCACGCCCAGACCGGCGGCCACTCCCGGTGACGCTTCAAAAATCAGCTCTCCACCATACACAGACGAGCCTGCCATGATCGGAGCAGCCAATGGCCAGGCCAACGGCATAGCGCAGCACCGGGCACGGGCCGGTCCCCCCAAGGGACTCCACATGCTGCATGGTATCAATGAGCGTCTGCAGAAGGAAAAGGCACATGCAGAGCTTGAAGATAAGATTGATCAGGAGTTTGACGATAGCTTTGTCACCCAAGTGTACAACTATCTATCACTAGGTTACCCGGCTATGGCCCGGGCTTTTGATGGTGAACTTTCACGGATTAGCTTGATGAGTATTGAGGACCTTGAGAAAGATGATGAGAAGCAACTCGCCCAAGGCCACCTCGTCGAATCAGAGGCCGATAAGCCTCGCGATCAGAGATGCCCTCGATGGCATGCTCTTCAATCCTATATTAAGGAGTGGGCTAGACAGCACCCCAACCTCGACAGTATGGACCCTGTTGGATGGGGTGTCCGAGAACGACGAGGCAGCTGGGCTGTCTAAGCTTCACATTGAGATGTCGTTTGCGCATTCACTGTTTTATTGCGCCTTGTTTACAACTTTCGGTTTCAGAACATGTTTATCGGTTACGAATACAACTGTTTAAGCCATCGACGGGCGTTTTGCTTTTACATCGTGGAAATTTCTACGCATGTTGTTCGAGTTTTTATAAGAAGCATGACGGGACGAGGAAGTCCCCGGAGCGGGCTTTGCTGTATGGACCAAGGTAGAGGAGGATCAAGTTTTACAATGCGTTTGTTTGCTGCTCAGCGGCGGATGACCTAGAAGGTGGTTCTACTAGATGACGGAAAGACCGGAGAGGAAAGACAAAAGCTACGAGAGGAGGACCCCAAATGAACTGGGTGATGACGGCATGCGAGACAGGATCGCTGTAGTGATTAGTGTGAGACTTCAAGACTTGTTAAGTACCGCTACACGGATGTGTAGACAGAATGCATTTCAAACTCGGCCGAGCCGACCGAGAAAGTTTGCGTTGATGATAATTGAGGCTCACATGAGCGTAATTGAGTTAACTGCTTTAGACCACGTGAACTGCCATCACAACTTTGACCCATCTTTCCCACTCTCTTCAATAACTTTCCATTCTCGCCCATTGACATCAACTGTATCATCCTCTTTCAATGCCTCTTCGCCCAGAATCTTCTCAATCGGCAACTCCGCATCTCCCATTCTAATAGTCCTCTTCCACCCATCCTTCCACTCCCACCTTTCGAGTGAGATATGCTCTCCGACTCTGATCAGCCCCTGTGCATAACATCCCAGTCTCACTACTGAGCCCCTCACTCCGTTCTTCTCATCCTCCGTTTGAAGTACAAGCGCTCTGACGGCTGGTTCACCGGGTACTGCTGTCGGCGTAGCATCATGCCATAGCTCTTCATACGCTGTGTCGATTCCAGTATCGGGGTTGACCATACTGCCCTTTTCAAGGGTCAGCTCGTTTGGTTGAGGATACATGAAGCCGGCATCGGAGTCGAGAGTGCGGGATGATATCCATTGGTGGAACGTAGAGTGGGAAGTCAAGTTTCCTTCTGGGTCGGGAATCTTGGTAGATACCGTTGTGCCGACTATGGCCCAGTCAAGGCGGGATAGGGGAAGGGGTTCTGAGGCTTGTTAATTGTGAGCGAGAGAATGGGAGAAGGGTGAGTACCATCTTGGCCGGCCCATGAAGGGTCGTTATCGGGGAGGAGAATGCGTAGATCGACGAAGCGCTTGAGGCGTGGTGATGTGATGACTATGGTGGATGTTGGCTCAGAGGCCTCGTCTGGGAGCCAGCGGATGAACTTTCTTATCGAGATCGTGCCCATTGTAGTAGATGTTGTGTATGAGGTATAAGTTGCAGGTGAATGAATGGTGAATGAGTTGAGTCAGGGTTGAGGGGGTGGATATGCGGGGGCGGAATATGGGAGCGGAACGCCGATTTCCATGCTAGGGGAGGAGAGAAAACTTGGGACCTCGGTCCTAAATGATGAAAAGATTTAGGTAACTTGGGTAAAAGCTCAGGATGAATTTAGTATATATTTTGCTGAGTTTATTTTAGCACCTTATATCAAATCCTGAGTTTTCTTTGCCCCCTAGACAGCGCTGTCCAGAGCTGCATTGAATGAACGTCTGCAGTCACTAAGGCAAAGACCAACAACAGACCATGTATACAGGGAGAACAGAGAACCACCCAGGAAGAAACTGGTCAAATCTGAAAATAATTGAGCTAAGACCAGGCAAAAAGGGCTAAGGCAGATCAAGGAAACGCTTCTCACAAAGAAAACCGTCCACTTGGACAGACCCTTTTTCTCAACCCAGACTTCCAGAGAGAAAGTAAGGAGCTGTAGAGGCATCAGAGCTGCAGCAAAAGCAGGCATATATATATCAAGTTCGATCGATGTGAAGGGTGCAAGAGAAAGTCCTATTATGATACTACGAAGAGTCAGATACGAGACGCAAAGTAGAACCACATATAGGGGAAAACGCCATTTTGTTCCTTTCAGAACTGGAAGGAGAACAAATGTCGCAGTTAGGGAAGCATGGGTGTAAAATATCAGCAAAAACGTCAAAAGAACAGAAAGTGCATAATAAACCGTGACGACATCACTTGACAGCCCCTGCCTAAATCCACCTGGGGGGAGGCTCTGGACAAGTGAGATGGCAGAATATACGAACAGGACGACATCGCGAATTGTGCGTTTCAGTGGCATGCCCCAAGCCAAGTTGTCAAGCCATAGGTTACAGACAACCCAGGATAGTTGCAGCACCGGCTGGAGGATAAATGCTGACAATAAGATCACAATGAGGGGGATGGCGATGCCTTGCGTTAATGGTTGATCGGGAACGAAGTATACTGCGATCTCGATGTATGACAGGACTGCCAAGAAGAATACCCCTCGATACGCTGGGCTGTGAATATGACTCAGGTCTCTGATGTCGTCTGGATTAAGCACCGGACTTTCTGGGTGGTTGTTGGTCGGTTCTTTGCTCGCTGATGTCGTATAAAAGGCTTCGGTTGCCAGAACGAGGGGGGCGACGAGAAGGATGATAGGAAGAATCTGGCCAAAAGTCCATTTGCTGTCGTCTTGATTGCCTGGTATTCGGAGTTTGATGAGGCGCGCCGTAATCCAGATGATAGTAAAGAATAACCAATAGACCTACCCGAGAAGATCAGCCAAGTTTCTTCAGATGATGCTTTTGCCACAACGTACTTCAGCTAGGAGCGACGTGAAAAGATCAAGTTGGATACTCAAAACTGAGTAGAATCCGATCAAAATAGGAACAGAAAAGTAACTCCAAACACGACGAGGCCAAGACGCATGGGCAAATGCGTGATCCCAGTCTCTTCCTGTCGAGCCCGAATAAGCTCTTCTGTGCCGATTACCCCTTTGTTCTAGAAGCGCTGCAGTTTTGCGCAGCCCACCTTCAAATCCTTTGAAAGTCTTTGCGATGCGAATAGCGAGTCCCCAAACAAGAAGGACGATAAACTTGATGGCTGACTGAAAGGCCATAGATCTTGTATTTACCAGATCTTCAAAATAGCAACGAGCAGGGCGGCCACCTCGATCATTGAGCCAAGGATCCTCGTTAAAAGGTCATCGACAGTCCCACTGCCGCGGATAGCATGACTTGAATTGTACACATGGCCACTAGACGCCATGCGCGCTTTGCAGGATTATTGGCGAGGTGGTTGCGAAGAAATGACAGACTGGCCAGGTGAGTTATCGAAGCAAGCCATGCCAGGTAGATCATGTACTGCCAGTGATAAGCAACGATATCGCAACCTACTGAGGCATACGCGCCGATGAGAATCGCCAGTGATGTGAAGATCTGGATATCGGCGAACGTGAGGACGCACTGCGGTGCACAATAGCATTAGTCCCTGTGACCAAATACAGAATAATAGTGAGCTCACAGAGTTCAAGACGGTTCCAAGTCTAGAAGACCCTGTCGAAATAGATCTGGAATCATGTTTAAGCCAAGGAATGCTCTGTAGCATTTCGTGAACCGAATAATCGATCGAGTTTGGATACTTGGTTAACTTCTGCGTGCCCTCCTTTCGGAAAGGGTCTAATTTGGGATCGAAGACTTTGAGATAGTAACCGACGAGAACACCGACCACTATCCACGCCGTAATAACGAAGGCTAGAGTTACCTGGTCGAAAGTCAGCTACACATGGTTGATGTTCTGGAGCGGAGTGAGGCCCACACCAATTCCTCCTATATCCCCATACGAGGGGACCTCTTTGGGGAAGTCTTTGCAGGTGGAATTGCATGTGTACGACGATTTCGACATTGGAACGAGTTTGAAGTCACGGCTTGAGGTTAGGAAACTTGGGAGGGCGTCATTAAGGCTATCTATAAATCAGGCTGTGGTTGCTGACCTGCGTCATCAGATCTAGGCAGTTATCGAAACCAGGCTCTGAGAACGAGTGGGCTGAAATGCGTGGCGATATCCCCTGTCTCAGGTCGAAAAGAATTGCGTGTGCAAGATATCCAAGCCTCGTTGGCCCGTTTTGTAGATACTGAGATAGTAAAGTCGATGAGGCATACAGACTCTCCGAATACGACAGACAGCTGAAGTCACACCCAAGGGCCAGTCCTGCTAATCATAAGCTTTCTAGTGATATTCTTGAGGTTTGCCATATCATGTTATGATGAAAAGACTTACTTGAATACTAACTAAATGTCTTTTTGAGCAGACTTCATTTATTTTAAGCAGCCCTTAAGAGACAGACAGTATAGGAAGAACAGCCGCCAGCGACCTTCTTGGCATGCATGAAGCCACAATACGATGGGCTGTAGTCATTGGGCATGGATTCTCACTTTTGGTAATCCAATATGCGAGTCAGCCTCAGCTTGCGCACGTTTTCACTCAAGCTGAAAGATGCAAGACTGGTAGAACTGTGAACCATGCCAATTGTACCGTGTCGAAGACAGGTTTGACTGCTGATCATGCATACTTCATTATGATAGGCGGCATTTTATACAATTTTCTAAGCAAACATAAATTATCGATTGACTTATTTGTACCTCTTATGCTAGGATGTGAAGATACTTAGAGTAGTTTATGGTATCTTAGGATACCTAACTTAGGATGAACTTAGTAACCTTTTGACAAGTCTATTCGCAACAACGGATGCGAAAATACCACACCATCTCTTAGTTGATAACACCGGTTCCAGCCTTCTCCTTGAGATAGTCACAGATACAATCCGCAGAGTCGGTGGCGTAATCATAAGGAGGAACGAAACCCTTCTCCTGCGTAATCTGTGCCTCACTGTTCTCGAAAAGGTTGTCCTTCTCAATAGCGAATCCATCCTCCTTAGAGTCAAGGTTGGTGACAATAGGTCGCTTGACATTAACAAAAGCAGTGCTCTCCACGAGGACTTGAGCGCTCATTCGAGAGTTGACGCCAGAGATGGGAAGATCCTCGTAGCAGCTGCTGTAAATATGCGCAGTTCCGAAACGAATGGAGGGAGCACGGCTGTTGACGTTGCTCCAGTAGTTGTGGTGGTAAGTAACGTGGAGCTTGCCGGTGTCTTGATCACCGTTGCTGTCGCTGTGACCGATGAGACTGGCTTTCCAGTGGTCGGAGAACTTGTTCCACGAGAAGGTGAGGAAGTCGGAGCCACGCTTGGCGTCAAGGAGACCGTCGTAGAAGTCCTTGTCCCCGGTGATGCCCTCGGCAGAGAACTCGTTGTGGTCAATCCAGATGTTCGTAGAGGTCTCAATGTCGATGAGATCCATTTCCTTGGGAGGATTCTTCATGGCGAGGTTACGGATGATGACATTATCGGCCTTCTTGATGCGGAAACCACTGTCAGTGAGACCAGAGCTGGAACCAACGCCGAGGATGGTGGTGTCGCTCTTGACGTTCATGATATCGCAGCCGGTCAGCTGGCCGTCGATGTGAATGACACCGCCATTGGAGAGTGCAGAGGTGAGCTCTGAGCAAGAAGTGACGGTGACGGTATCTCCAGACCCTCCGGTGGACTTTGCTCCGTATCCAACGAGCTCGTCAACCTCAGCAGCGCCACAGAGACCAGCAATTTTGGAAGCTTGAGGGACAGGAGAAGCAGTAGCCAAGAAGGCGGGGATGAGAGATATAAGTGCAGATCGCTTCATGATGAAAATAGGCACAGCCTTAATGATAGACAGATAAAGAATGTAAGTGTAGTTAAAAAAGAATGTAATGACAATAAAAGTGAGTTATCGAGACAGACACAATCTCCACGAGACAGCAGCCCAGATATAAACGTTTCTCCACAAATATTTCATCGGATTAGACTTAAGATTAAGTCTAAAGATCAGGAGTCTCACTGCTCTGACATGTTTGGCGGACGAGAATATCACCGCCTGGGCGACGATGCCAAGCTGCTTATTCCCAGTTTTTCGGGTCTGATGAGGGGAAACATTGGAGGCTGAGATATCTTGGCGGAGTGTTTCTGAAAACAAGCGAGCTTGGCTGGGTTTCAGGGCTGATGGGATGTTTATTACCGGATGACAGCGGGCGGCTGTGGTTTCTAGAAATGTGTTAAGATCGACATTTATAGCCAAATAGGGGTTGCATGCCTCGTGGTTCTACAATTATATCAAGGTATTTGCTTGGGCATTTCCTGAGGTATCAGAGAGCTGGAGATGTTTGCATCTGTAGGTGAAATAAACTTGTCAAAAGTGTGCTAAGTTTATCCTAAACTATCCCGAATCATCATGAGATATCATAAACTAGTCTAAGATATTATAAACTTCTCTAAGTATCTTCACATTGCTCCCATCATGAAGCACATGAGAAGCACCCCCTATCATAGTATTTCTCTGTGCCTTGTGGATTATACGTGATTCCCAAGCTAGCAGGTCCAACTCTAAAGGGGTAGCACTCAGTGTTGCTCTTGATGTACGCAAAGCCCTGGCAATCTGCCCGTTGGAGGCAGACAGCAGCGCAGTTGGCCAGACTACCCACTGGTTTGATGACATAGTTTAAGAGACGAGCGCTTTGAGCTTGTTGGCCGCTTTGACCGGGAATACCGCAGGTGACGTCGTCACTAAGAAAGGCTGAGGGTACTGCACAATCTGTGGGCTCTGGAGTTGCTTGAGTCGTGGTTGGCTCCCCGGATGCGCTTGTTGCAGCTTGGGTGGAGGAATCCTCGCCAGCTGGCCGTGTCGAGGTGATCATGGTTGTTGGGGCCTCAGACACAGGCTGAGAAGAAGTGACTACGTCGCCGCAGAGTGTGCAGCTCATACACTCCAAGTTGCTCCATACTCCAGGTGCATTGGAGACTCCGTCGATAGTTGGGTCTGAGCTGAACATGCACCTCATCCCAGATCGGGTGGGATCGATAGCAAAGGCCTTGCACGACCTATCAAGCTTACAAATGAGAGCACAGTCTTCGAATGTGTTTTGGTTAGGAAAGTCAGCGAGACTGCGGGCATATGGCTCAACATTGCGAGGCCAGCCACGTTTGCCACATGTTGCTGTCGAAGGCACAACATTTGCGGCGGAACAAATTCCAGGGGATGGAACGCCGTTGGCGCACAGAGATGCTGTTGCGGAGGGAGATATAGAAGTTGTAGTTGGCATGACTGTTGATTCGGTCTCGTCGCTGGCTTGGCTTGTACTCGTGGCTGTTTCAGCGTCAGATGTGATTGTGACAGCTGGGTTGGTGGTAGTCGTTGGCGCGGCGAGAGTCGAAGTTGTCTTATCCTCTGCAGCGCATGTCCACTGAGGCATATTAGCAGGGTCTTGGCCAACAGAAATGTAGTCGAAGTAGGCGTTTCCCTGTCCACAAGTATGGCAATCCATATCTGTAAACCAGAAAAGCTCACTTCCGGCCTCGGCGACCTCAGAGGATCTAGCATCGTACAAGCTACAGCTTCCAAAGGTCGCTGCATAAGACTTGCAGGAAGGATACTTGGCACAAAGATCGCGACATTCGTTACTAAGACCGCAGACGCCGTTTGTAGGAGCAGTTAGGAAGGGCTTGGCACAAGCTTTGGCTTTGCCCTTGACCTGAGTACAAGACTTGGCGGGTGTATCAGCGTTGACGTTGACGCACACAGAGCCAGCTGGTTGCTCGGCGCATTCGTCCTCCTGAATACAGCTTCGATCGTAGGCCCAGGCTGAATCAGAGCCTCCGTTGGTAGGGATGTCTGCCCAGCTCGTGGCGAGGAGGTTACATGTGTTGGCGCATCCGCTGCCGAAATAACGCCATTCGAAGCTTTGGCAGTTGGTATCTGCAAGGCAAAGAGCAGCGCATTGCTCCTTTGTGATCTTGCTTCCGCCGTATCCTTTGTAGCCTTTCGTGCTGCTATAAGGCCTCTTGGCACAACCTCGGCCAGCTGCGCCTGTTCCGAGTTTGGCACAGAGCTTAGCGCCCGATGCGGTAGGATCAGTTGGGGCAGAGGTCGGGGCGGAGGCTGAGGTGGACTCGGCCGTCTTGTCGGTTGTTGAGGCCTCATCGGTAGTGGTTTGGACTTGAGAGGATTGAGTTGTTGGAAGGCCAGAAGACTCGGTGTCGGTGGTGTCGGTGACATCGCTGCTAGTCGTAGCTGTGCCCACAGCAGGAGCAGTGCTTGTTTGAGCCGGAGCAATGGTAGCAGCATGCTTCGAAGTAGGAAAGAACAACGAAATGCCATCTACCCACTCTTCGCCGATCTTGTTGGACACAAAGACTTGATCGAAGTAGACTTCAGCAGAGCCTCCATCGATACAGTTGAGCTCAAAGCGGATCATTCCACTTGTAGTGGTGACGGGCATCGAGTCCACAAACTCCAACCAGTCGTTACCCTCAGCGACGACAGGAAAGTATGGAGTTGCTCCAAATTGAACATTTCCGTAAAGTCCTTCTATGCGGCATGTATCCGCGATAGCATTGTTCACGATGGAGTACCAGAAGCGAACGGTGAAGTCGCTGGGCTCCAGGTTATCGAGCTGCTGTTGAATATAGGGGTTATCGGATATGAAGTCTCGCTTTTGGCCAGGAGTCCCTGAATTGGTCTTGAGCTGCACACAATTCCTCTCCTCGGTGTGGTCTCCCTGATAACCAGGTCCTTGAAGGAGCTTCGCATCCCCGCCTGCTTGAAAGGCATAGATACCGCCATCGGATGAAGGATCATAGCCTCCAAAGTCGCCATTCGTCACAGCATTAGTGATGACTACCGGTCCGTCGGTCGTTTCGGACGGAGGCGCTGATTTCGTTGATGTTCCGCTGGTAATCGAAGCGGGCTCCGTAGTTTTTGCTCCGGCTGGCGACGAGGGCCTGCAATTGCCGGCGGCAACAAGTTCAAACGAGCTCGCAAAGGCAAGAGCCACAAGCCCAGAAATGGAACGCATCGTGATGAACGAACGGACAAGCCAAAAGGCTAAAACGAGTGACTGAGGGAAAGAAGGCTATCAATCACACGCCACTGAATATAAGAGCGAGCTATGATATATAACATTTGAAGGCGTCCGCCTCCCGCTTCGTCCGTTCTCCTGACATGATGGGAAATTTCCGCAGTCATGGCCCAGGTTTATTATCGCGTGGAATTTGTCGATAGTTCTCAGCTTTGAATCAATAGCTCCAATGGGGTTGCCTTTTTCGTGTATGCGCTGGGGCTAGATTGGGTTGGCCCGTTGAACTATTGGACGCCTAGGTAACTTAGTGGGTTGTTTAAAGAGAATGGAACTGTCCCAGGAAAATATAAGACCTTAGAAGAGGATGCTAAAATAAACTTAGTAAAGAGTCCCCCTAAGCTTAGGCTAAACTGCCCTAATTTGAGGATCAAGGTCCTCATGGGAGTTTTCTTTCCTCCCCTCCGCTAGGAACCCTACCTAGACTTCAGAACCGGTCTCGTCAGTTTCATGCTGGCAATCACAGTCTCGCAGTGTCAAATTTCACGTGGCAAGTCAGACTTCTGCCTCTCAAATGTCAGCGCTAACAGGTTCAACTGCCGATCCCGCATGTTTTGTTATAACGGGCCATCCCGAATCCAGACTCTCGGGATTTTTCAGGGTCCAGTGTTAAGAACATCCTAGGCATGGCCTAGAACTTTGAACGTATCAAGAAGAAATATTGTCAAGCAGTAGAGTTGTGTCAGGGAGAATAGAGGTCTCTTTTTCATTTTCCTTAGTTCAAACACTCAACTAAATACATGAATGAAAGCATCTTAAGGCTCTGAGTCAATACAGATCCACCTAAAAACTTAAAGTCGACCATTAAGCAGAATGTCAAATGGAAGCCTCACTATTTGGCTATTGAGTTTCCCGGAAGATGACAAAACTTTCTTTCATTTGACTATAAATATCTGCTATGACCCTAATCGGTCTGCCACATTTCTGCGACCGCAAAACACTACCTACTACCTGTCTGATCAAGGATTCCAGTAAAGCTTCGTTCACGACCACAACAAACAACAATGCACACGACCTCTCCCTTGGGAAAACTCCCAGGTGAGTTGCTGGTTCATCTTATGCGCTCTTTTTATTCCCCGATAGATCTTCGATCATTTATCTCCTCGTCTCCGATCTTTTTGCAGTGGTTTCGTACCTACCGCCAGTCTGTCCCCAAGCCCATAATCGAGCTTTTGAAAGCAGTATATCATGACGACGAAGCATTCACCTATGACGGAATTCAGGGCGCCCAGTTACGGCTACAGGCCCGTCGGTTTCCTTACTTAGATCCATATGAAGTCAAGGTAAGAATATATCGAGTGGCTCTGTCCAAGTCTCTGAGCGAGAAAGAATGGAGTGGCAGTCTCCCATTTCTCTGTGAGCTATTCAAGCAACGGCAAGACGCTGATGCTCTTATATCGGAATACGCTGTAGAGGCATGGAATAAGCTACTTTGGGAGGCCAGAGTCAGGACCCAACGCGATCCTTCCTTTACCTGGCTTCCAGAGTTTGATCAGCCTTTAGTTCTCTCCCCAAGCGAGATTATTCGTTTTGAGCAAGGGTTCCTTAGTTACGACCATGGGCGACATGACATATACCATAATTTTGAATGCCTACAAGGTACCGTGCGGCCAGAAATGTCAAGACCTGCGTGGGACCATCGTCCTTCGGACCTTGAGGCGTATAAGGAAAGACTATGGTGCTGCCGCTCATATACATCTATTTTCCAATTCGTTTTTGGAAAATATCGCGAGCTCATGCACCGCGTCGATAGAGAGCTTCATGAAAGAGAGGCCCTCAATGGTGGCATATCTCGTGGGGTAGACACCCGAGTTTGCCAGTTCCTCGAAAGGACAGCATATCAAGAGCACAGGTGCCTCATTTTCCTCTCTATACAAGACTATACCCTCCTACGAAATCTATGGAGTATGAATCAAGCCCACGTCAGGCACTTTATCCTGACTACGTTCCTTTGGGTCATTTTGCGCGATGCGTCGGGATATTTGCCACTCGAAGACCCATTCATGCACGACGGCATCGATCAATATGGCTTGTTGATCGACTCACCTCTCAAGCCGACGTACGAACCTTGGACCCGAGCAAGATACTTCTGGGATCGAGAGCGGATGGTAAAGATATATGGGGATCAACGGTAAGTGTAATAATTCTTGGAATGTTGATGTTTGGTGGTAGATGAGCATGTCTGAAAAGGATACCTGCTTTCAAGTCGTTGGAGTCACCCCATGGAGCGAGAAAACTTCGAACTCGTAATTGAGGTAACAAACGAAGATGAGTCTGAAGGCTCACTAATTAATATGTACTGCCTAGGGGAGGAAAGAAAACTCAGGATCTTGACCTAAAGCGAGAAAATTATTAGGTAAATTTAGCCTAAGCTTAGGGTGTTCTTTGCTAAGTTTATTTTGACACCTTATAGTAAGGTTCGGTGTTTTCTTGCCCCTTGAGGACTGCGTCTAAACTTGACTCAATTTATGCCAGGTTCACCTCAAGTCTCGTCAATTGGGATACACTTGAAAGACTGAGGCGGAACAGAGACTACTGCCACTTCCCATAAAGCCCTTCCCGGAACATCATGGACAATGTTGATCCACGGCAACGGCTTCATTCTTGCCCTCGCTTCCTCCCATTTCCCTATCCCCAATAGCTCTGAAGCCTTGCGAATTTCACCCAAGACAAGCGTATCGGAATTGCCATTCGTCAACGAAAGGCCATACACCAACACTACCCAGAACCACAAAGGCCGATACTCTTCTCCCCTCTTCAGTAGTACACGACTCTCGACATGTCCCCTAAGCAGCTTGTGCAAGAGCTTACAGTGTACACTCTTGAGATGACTCGCAGACCATGTGACGGTAACCAAGAACGCCAGCAAGGCCAGCTGCCACACGTCATCCATCAGATCTTGTGGCCTCGTACCACCAAGTGGCGCAAAGTCGGCCAGTCTCTGCCACATCGAGATAAGCACATCCTGATACTGCAGACCCGACATCTTTGTCTTTCCGGGTCTTCGGCACAGCGCTAGCAGCTCACGTGTGACCTGCCGCAACAATTCACTCATCTGATTTAATGGGTATCGCAGATCTCGTGCGGATATCGGCCCTGCCGCTGCTGCTGTGAGTCCCGCGTTACCGAAGCGTGTGCTTGTGCCCTGAGCGACGGCAAGTTCAATGTCTGTTCGGCAGATCTTGTGAAGGAGTGGGCGGTTGCACTCGCGTATGTCGGATATGCCGCCGGGCCGGAAGTTGAGGAGGTTATCAAGACCTTGGAGGTGCATAACACTCGCAGTGAGGTTTTGGGTTATGTTTGAGTGGATTGCCAGGGATATTATGATAGCAATGTTGGAGTCTTCTTGAGCGGCGGATGGTTGGCTGAGGCGCGGGTTCATGAGACGAAGGGCTTGAGAAAAATGACGAGTTGCTTCGATACTTTCTACACTGGGAGTTGGGATATTCCGTAGGATGTTGAGGTACGTCGCTGCCATAGCGAGAAGACAGTGCAGACCTTCAGCTCCGGTCAGTGTTAAACTCGCGAAAGGGAACGAGAAAGTTACAGGCTTGGTCGGCTACCATGTACCTGAACCACGGTGAGCCAATCTCATCTGTAGGTCTACAGAAGGCGTACGGGTATATGATGTTGCAGATCGCAGTGTGGACTGGATGTGGTTAGTGAGCTGTTGGAGAGTTGAGACAATATGAACTGACATTCGTAGACATAGTATCGCATCGACGGGGTGAATTGGACCGGGAATGAGAAGTACGTATACTCTTTTCCCGAGTATGGATTGTTGATAGAGTATGCAGCGTCAGTGTCTGTATCTGCGATTTCTGGGAACAACAAGGCATTGCCAACATTATCGACAGCACCATCGAGACTCTTCCTTCTTTCCTCTACGCTAACACCCGACTTCGATAGGTCTGAGCTCTTGTGTAAGTTATTCAATTGAGTTGCAGCATGCCTCTTCCCACGACCTTGTATTGTACGGCCAAGATTCTTGCCCTTCATGACATGACTTCGTATCGCCTTGCGGGCACCAGGCTTCTGGGTTGAATCATTGTCGATGAACTGGAACTTCATCGTCACGTGAGAACATTATTACAGTTGAACGTATATAGGATTTGTTCCAATCCCTTAGGATAAATGCGATGAGAAGTTGTGAAGGCATTGGACATGGAGGTGAGATTACGTCGTGGCGGGTAAACTCCGTAAACCCCGAGAGGGGCCACGGTGATGCTGGTCAACATCCATCCGAATTGTTGAGGGCTCACAACCTGTGCAAGTAACAGTGAAGAAGACATTACACGAGAGTTTTTCTTTTATCTTTTCTGGTACGTCAAGTCTAAGCATAACATAAACCATTCCTATCACACAGACGTTCCTCTGTCTACCAAAAGCTTTTGCCGCGTTGGAAGGCTAGCATCCCAAGTCTGCTTGTTTACTTGCGCTTGGAAAGGGGCTCGCCATCCCTGATCTTGCGCTCACCGTACTTGGCGATGCGGATGGCATTCACGTTGATGAAGCCAGTTGTGTCCTCGACACTCCAGTCCATGTCAAGGGTGTCCTGCATTTCTTACGTTAGTTCTGATCGAAGTGGTCCTTTTAAAGTACTCACCATGCTGCTCTCTTCCTCACTGTAGAGGTTGGAGGTCTCGCTGGAGCGACCAACGATGATGACGTTGCCCTTGTAGGCCAGAGCCTCGACCTTGCCGTCAACCTGCTTCTGGCTGAAAGCGATCGCGTTCTGAACGAACTCACGCTCAGGTGTGAAGTACATTCCCTGAAAAGATGTCAATAATGCCCAGTCCTACGGAGTTGGAATTAGAAAGGGTTACGCACGTTGTAGATGCATTGCGCCCAGTCATCTGAGAGACGGTCGCGAATGATGCGGACCTTGCTGTCCATCACGAGACCCTGAGAAATCGTCAGTTAACTCGAGTCCTATACTTATTAAAGATAGAGTGCTTGGTGTTGGCTCATGCTTCGGTGACTCTTGACTCCCCTCGATTGGCATTGTATTGCAATAGGCACAACTCCAGAGACGACTCTGGAATCGCATCAAGGGATATCAAACACCGCAGCACGAACCAACCCAGTTCTCAGAGACTTATAACTTACCTCAAGGTTCTGGTGGAGCTTGCGCAGGATAGTGAGACCGGGGGTGTCTGAATACAATGTTAGAACATCCTGCCAAAGTGCTTGCGCGAGAGCGGAACAGATGTTGCCGGCAAGACACCGACAATGCATTCGCACAAGACGTGTTCGACAACAACAAATGATTAGAAAAGCAAGGAATAAAGGCGACTAACCGTAGCAACCACGAGATTTCAATCCTGAAATAAAGATTAGCAATCACATTCTACTGTGAAAGTTTCCTGAGAGTTGGCTTACCGATGAACCTCGACTCGACGATGTCCTCACGTCCAATACCTAGTACTACGTTAGTACTCGCTCAGAAGCCCTTCGGTTTGCAGTCCTACCGTTGGCACGGCCCAACTCGTTGGCCTCCTTGAAGATCTCCAAAGAGCCAGTAACGGTCTTGCCATCAACTTCAAGCTTGGTGGGAACACCCTCAGCAAAGTGGACGGTGAAGCGAGTGGGCTTGTCGGGAGCGTCCAGGGGATCTTTGGAGAGACATTAGCTCAAAAAAACTAGAAGTATGTAGGTCAAACCGTCTTACCAACTGTGCGCTTCCACATGTCCTTGGGGGGCTCCTTGTCTGTTTGCTCGAGAATCTAGCAAGTTCAGTGTCAATATGGCGCAAAGAGAGGTGTTGTCGTAGGTGGACTTACACCGGCCTCATATGAGCAGTGCTATCGGATTCATAGTCAGTATTGTGAAAGCAATGGAGCCTTTCATACATACAATGATGTTGTCGTCCATGGACCAGGGGGCCTTGGGAGTGGAGCTGACGGGGATCTTCTGCTCCTCGGCGAACTTGAGAAGATCGGCACGTCCCCTGCGGAAGAATTAGTTTGCACATGAAGTAGTGATCAAAAAAATAGGCTTACTGGAATCGGTTGAAGAAGGCAGGGATGCGCCATGGGGCCAGGACCTTCATCTTGGGGTCACAGGCCTTCCATGCCAGCTCGAAGCGGACTTGGCTGAAGGGGGAAGTTAGTACAGTACAAGATCAAAATAGGGCGACAGCGTGTGTGTCGCGATCATGATCAGGACTTACTCATTGCCCTTACCGGTGCCTAGGGGTTTGGGTTAGCGACTGGATCGAACAGTAAGGAGACCAGTTGGACCACGACGACTTACATCCATGGCTGAGGATGGTGCAGTTGTTGTCCTTTGCAACTTGCACCATGGCCCTGGCCAACACGGGTCGGGCCAGACTTGTGCCGAGAAGGTCTTTAGGGCATTAGTGATGTCATCAAGGAGCGTCCGAGGTGAACCGTCTTACATTGTCCTTCATAGATAGCGTTGCCTGGTGGATTCCGTTAGTAAACCCGCTGTACTACCACAAACAGTCCGTGAACACTTACACTGGATGGCGGGCCACACCAAGTCGTCAATCAGCTCCTGCTGGACGTTCTCGATGATCATCTTCTCAGCACCGAGCTTGAGAGCCTTGGCCTTGACGGCATCGAAGTCTTCCTCTTGACCGCAGTCTCCGAGGAAACAAACGACCTGATAGCCTTGAAGGACGAGCCACCTAAGAGTTATGGGTCAGCTCTTGTTAAACAATTCCACATCTTCGATGACAGTCGTCTCCACGTCAGGCTCGAAGACTTTGACAGCGTCGAAGTCTTCTCCCTGCCGCGATTCATCAGGAAGCAAAACATGGGGGCACCGTACTTGAGAATAGTGGAAGTATCCAGGCCTGTCAATTAGTCAGAATATCTCATCTTGATATCGCTTCTAGAGCTCTCAACTCACCGCCGGAGTAGGCACTGGACAAGGGTCAGTTAGTTATCTTGCTCGAACCAATTGACTTGAGTGGGCAATTGACTTACAGGCAAACACGTTCGGGGGCCATGATGAATGTTGTACGGGGTTTCTTGGGCAACACAAGAAGTGACTGATAGATCTATCTCGACAAAATGTTTGTTATCGCGTGAGAGTCGTCGAAGTTTTTTGGCTGCAGCTCCGAAGACGGCCAAAGCGAATCACCCCGCGTCACTTGGTGGGGCAATGCCCTCTTCTGTTGGGTCACAAATTGATCCGCACGAAATGAGGTTGACAGAAACGAGGGGCTTCAATAATGCGCGATAATGACCCATATATTTCTGTCAATAGGCCCCTCTGTCTTCCTATCGGTGCCCAAATGTTGACTGCTTATCTCTTATCTTTGGCCAGTGGAGTGCACGTGATTTATTCTGACTCTCCGCTCAAAGCATTTACTCCAAGGCCCAAGCTGGGAGATAAGGACCCTACTGTATCAAGCTGGACAAAGTAAAGAGCCTCACCTGCTAACGAGTGAGATCGTGGCCGCGATCGTGACTGACATATCACGTGTCTATGTGACTTCAGGGTAGGCACAAGTATTACAGTCGGGCGAAACAGCTATTCCCAGTCGAAGGCATTTACCCAAGGATCATGACACAGACAAGAAGGATCAGTGTTTCGCTATCAGAGGCAGATCCAACACAACTCAACTTCTCATACCCTCGTTCCAGTTGATCTGTCTATCGCGAACGGTGATGTAAATACCTTGAAGCCTCTCTCCAGGGAGATCATGTCACGGAAACCACCCATCACCCTCTGGGGCTGCGCTGGGGCAATTATGGGCCCCTCCTAGCGATTTCTGGGTATCCATCGAGGTGCGAGATGAGATATCGTTGATTCGCAGACGGAAGCGAGTAGGCGCCGAGGATTCCCTACGCCGATGAGGGTCTCGTCTTCAAGACTACGGTATCAAAATCGGGAACGCTCCAATAGCCACAATGATCCTCAGCAAACATCAGGAAGAAAGCTTCGCCAGTACTATCCTTTCCGCCTCAGCCAACTGCATTGCACCAGCTATTATCCGTTGTCTCGGTCGAGCAAGACATCGATGAGACGCTCGTTCGTCAGGCTGATGAAGGTGATCTCGAAACTGGCGACGGTAGCAATGTCGATGATAGCAATGCTTGTAAGGCACGAATTGTCGGTGGTGACTATGGAGGTAAGTAACTAGATATTCGTAGCCTTTGATGAGACGTTAAGCATCAGTCATCAAAAAGAACAATAGAACCGCAGCAAAAGAGCATCTCAAAGGCCATCAAGAACAAAGAGGAATCCAGTCAAAGAAATCGAGGCAGACTGGGTAGTTATATGAGTTTCAGCGATTCCTTCAGCCCGTAGTCTCGACAACATCCTCGGTCCCAGATCTCCGGTTACCCGAGAAGGAACACAACACTCAGCCGCAACGATATAAAGCCAAGCGCTCTTCCTCTTGTGAGCTCTAATATGTAACTTGAAATTTATCGAGCCTTTTGATAATGGCTTCTTTAGACTCGTAAATCAAATGGTCCTGGTGTTGAGTAAATTTCATCGCTAGATGATCCCAGGTGGCAAACACTCGACGCAGACCCTCGTGACTTCTTTTCTGTCTGAGTCACTTGTCTGATCACCCGATTCATGATTGAACATATGAGAACCTCGACAGATGCCCCATGAGCTCATGGACAATCATCACTATGGCTTACCTCGAGGTTTCAGCTTCCAGTCATGTTGTCTTGATTCTCTAACTTCACTTAAGGCAAGACCAGCCGAAGTAAATCAAAGAAGTTTTGCCACTTTGCGTCTAAATATAGATTCAAGCATCCAAGCTGAATGTTCAGTCGCCATTCTACTCCCGTAATGCCGTTTGCCAGCTGTTGGTGGTCATCTGTAAGCATCGCTCAGCGAGGCCGCCAGGATTCCAGGTCCAGACCGAGACAGATGGTGTGAAAGGCTCAGCCCTGCTGCAAAGCTTGTTTTGAAACATGAAATAGGAGATTGATTTGCCTCCATGATCCAATGAATCGACTGATTTGTGGCTTCTTGTGCTGGATTCTCGGAAGAAACATCTGAGCGGAATAGCCAGCGAGCACCTCGGCCCTTGGTTATGCAAAGTAGGTAATTGCCAGTAAAGGGGTATTCGAAGTGATCCACGAGCTGCATCCTAACATGCAGTCTAAGCGAGCCCCAGACTCCCCCAGATCCCTCAACAAGACATCCTTGGGGTTAGGTTAGTCCACGACGCCAGCCGTGAAAGATAGCCAACCAAAACAAGATACAATCGTTGTTCATGCTCAACGTCGTTTCATTAATGGCTTACGCCATCGGAAGCAAACTTCCTTCACGGTAACATCTCTAGTTTTTCTTCGGAGCTTCACCGAGGGGCAGATCAGTTCATGGTGGTGTAGTGAAAACTCGAGAGCCGAATAAATCCGAGGAAGAAGGATATCAAGTCTGTCATTTGCGATATAGCTAGGCACTATGAAGCCATAGACTAGCAACGAACAAAAGGACAAGTTTAGCCGCGCAGGGCTTGCACTAATACAAGGCAACCATGATCCCAGCTGAAACTGGGGTAATGAGACGATAAACGTGGGGAAGTTTGAAGAGGAGGAGATTTGAGTCTGGACATCGATGCCCGAAGTGGTGTGTAACTCACAGGACTCGGTCCCGATGTGAGTCGGCAACAAGCCCGGGGATGCCGGCGCAACGAGAGGACATTGCAATTGTCACTAAGCAAATTTTGCAAGCAGACTGAGATTACTGAGTGAGGAGAAATTCTCCGTGGTATTATCCCCGCTCCCGAATCTAGATTCCTAGGCAGGCTAGGGCAGAGGCCGAGATTCTAGGTTTATTGGCTTGGCTAAGCCATATGGATAGCTCGGATTACGAGGGAAAGCCAAGAGTTGGAGTTTGCTATAGGGTATTGGTGATATGGTTCGATACCTTAAACACCATCGTGAGTGTCAAGCAAACGTTGATACGAACCCAACAGGACGGAATGGACATTCACGTTGGTAATCTGCAGATACCACATGCCAAAAACGTGGGCATAGATAGCGCTGACGATTACGGGCGCATATGATGAACGATGCATAAGACCATCCTCGACGTTGAACCCCAACGAAACGGTGCAACAAGAACAAGCGACGTGGCTGTGATGATGCATGAAGGATGTACGCCATCCTGCTGTCCGAAGACGCAAACGTATCACAAACAGAACAAGTAAAAGAAGGATCGAATACATTCTGCCAAGCACGCAACGCATAAGACGAAAAGCCCATTGATAACAACGTCAAATAGCATGTGGTATGTGACGATGTGCGGAACAGCCAATGGCGAATAGTGCAGAATGATCTGACCTCACAAAGCAGAGATAGCAGCAAAAAAAAGTCTGAAGATGGAGGGGGGGGCTATGAAACGTGATTATGCAGGCATCTCATCAGGGGAATGTTGACCAGTGATAGGTTTGGCAATTGGTGGTGTGAAGCAAAGAGATGGTGCCATACGCTCTCTCGTTCTTTGTATCTTGGGGGCAGTTGTTACGAATTGGGGGGGACAGGGAGGGAGTCATGGAGAGAAAAAAGGCTGAAGAGCCAAGACTCAGGAAAAGTCAGATTTAGGCAAATGGCATGAGGAGAGGAAATGCCCCAATCCCAAAAAGGTCATGTTCTCCGGGTGGCAGTGGCAGATGCTGGGGTAAAGCCTGGGAGGGAGAGTTGAGAGTGCGGAGTAGTGGAGACAGAGGACAATACCGAAGGGGTGAGATTTTAAGACGACAAGAGAGAGGGAGGGAGCAGATGCTGAGAGATGAGATGTACTGTAGATTCATTCTGTCGGTACTTGAGTCATCTCAGACCATGTATCCACAGAAATGGCATCATATGAGAAAGTAGTGATTACAAGACAATGACAAAACAAGGTTCTCACTCATCCGTGGATATCTACCGAGCCCACTTCACTTAGCTATTCCTTAGGATAAAGAACGGCGTGGAGGATCAGTGGAGAACTGCCATCAAGCTTATCTTTTACCTTAAGCTGCCTAAGTTATGAGGAGAAACCAACCCCCAGTGCCATGTGATGAGAAAAGAGATTGTGTGCTGTTCTGCCTTGGAGGAGTCTCCGCTTACTGTCCACTCAACAAAAGCCAGAAGCGCGCATCCGGTATCTTAGCCGGGAAGCCCATATCATATGGATCCCTGTTAGGCACTAAGCAGGGGCCACCCTCCATCTCCTTCTGTCTGTTCTATGTTTTTGGGGAACTCGATTCGTGTACGTAACGAGAGGTGTTGTTTTCTCCAAAGTTTAGGGGGGGGGGATTAAGCAGTAAGAGGAGAGGAGAGGAGAGAGTGTGAGTAACTTGGAGAATGTTGCAGTCTTGTCGCTTTAGCCGAGGGTAGGTATTAATGTTCCGGACGTGCGGAGCTTGAGTGCACTAAGTGTCTCCAAATCGATGGAAGCATAGAATAGAAGCATCAGTCAGATCTGAGATAGCGCTACGTAAGGTATCGAGTAAACAGAGAAGATGAGATTCAATCTGAAGCTGTCAAAATGCAACCCCGTTCTTCCGTACGAGCAGGCTTCCCCAGAATCTTCATCTTGCTTTTCCCCGGAATCTCTTCTTCAATCTCCATATTCTGCCCCGGATTTTCTCTCTTAGATGGAGCCCAGCTCGGGAGTCGACCGGTCGATGGAGACGCGAAAGTGAGCTGTTGGGTGCTGCCAGTGAGACAATAGACAGCGGCGGAGGGCCCTGAAAACAGACGAGAGTGGCCCACTGAAAGGCCTAGCGCGGTAATCAGCCCGGATCCTGTGAGCAGCCTAAAACAGTCGAGTCGAGTTTCGGGTGGGTAATTCCCCCGCAAAATTGGTCCGGCACTAGATTACAGCGCATCTGGGGTCGGGCATTCATTCGCACCAACCAACAGAGCCAGAAGAGGCCACTAAATAACATTAACATTAGCATTAACCTGTAACTTATGCTTCTTCCCTCACGGAATTTCCCCTCTCGTACCAGCGCTATCTCTCTCTCCCTCTCCCACACACATTTCTCTT